GAGGAGGAGGAGGAGGAGGAGGAGGAGGAGGAGGAGGAAGTGTGGCGGCGATGGAGGGATGGAAAAAAGAACAAATGGCTGAAGAGGAGGCGGTGAAGGGAGGATGAGAGGGTGAAGGAGTGCAGATTTCATGGTGGTGATGAATGACTCGTCTCTGGGGTCTCACTCCTCCATCTGTCCATCCTCCTCCTCCTCCTCCTCTTCCTTCCTCCGACACACACTTCCTCCTGTTTTCTTTCTTCCTCCACCTTCTTGTTCTTTCCCTCCTTTCTCACCTTCCTCCCTCCTTCCTCTCTCTCTCTCATTCCGTCCTTTTCTTCCCTCTTTCTCGCCTCCCTTCCTCCCCCACTGTTCTACTTCTGTCGCTGTTTTCTTCTTCTTCCATCTTCCCTACTCCGTTTTGTGCTCAAACACTTCCTCTCCTCCCTCTCCTCCTTCCTCTCCTCCTTTCTCTCCTCCTTCCTCTCCTCCTCCCGTCTCCTCTCATCCATCCATCCATTTTTCCGTCTCTTAGAATAATCAGAGTGTTTAATCTGGGAAATATTAAACTAAATAAAAGCGTTTTGATGTTTAAAACCCAGAAGCAGTGGATGGAGGAGGTCCAGGTTCATCACTTCTTCATGACTGTTTCTTCTGTAGATGAACTCTGATGAAGAACCAACGTCTGGACTTTACTTCATTCATTCTGTTCATTGTTTTCATCCCAGACTTCCTCCGTCTCTGCTTCTTCTCGTCTCCTTCAACACTTTCAACTTTTCAACTCTTCCTCTCCTCCATCCTTCCTTCCCCCATCCTTCCTCTCCTCCATCCTTCCTTTCTCTCCTCCCTCCTCTGTCTCCTTCCTCCTCCCTCCTCCCTCCTGTTTCCTCCACCCTTCCTCCTATCTCCTCCCTCCTTGTCCCCTCTCTCTTGTCTCCTCCATCCTTCCTTCCTCTCCTCCCTCCTCTGTCTCCTTCCTCCTCCCTCCTTCCTCCTGTCTCCTCCATCCTTCCTTTATCTCCTCCCTCCTCTGTCTCCTGCACCCTTCCTCCTGTCTCCTCCCTCCTCGTCTCCTCCTGGCCTCCTCCCTCCTGTCTCCTCCCTCCTCATCTCCTCCTGTTTCCTCCTTCCTCATCTCCTCCTGGCCTCCTCCCTCCTGCCTCCTCCCTCCTGTCTCCTCCCTCCTGTCTCCTCCCTCCTCGTCTCCTCCTGGCCTCCTCCTCTGTGTGCAGATAAATAAAACATGGTTGTGTTTAGTGACATATGGACTCGGCTCGCTGCTGCATACTAATGACACACACACACACACACACACACACACACACACACACACACACACAAACAACCAGTCAGGTGTGTGTGTTTGCTGAACATTAGTGGAACCCTGAGAAAACATTTGCTCACTTATGATCGCTCATTAGCTCACACACACACACACACACACACACACACACACACACACACGTCATGTATGTAACACACACTCTTGGCATTCCGCCTCGGTCACACACACGCAGAGCCGGTCGTCTTAGCCGCCCCGCGTCCATGGAGACGCCACGTTGCCGGGGGTGACGGGCTGTTGTTTACGACCTCGCGGGCGCCACGACGATGGGGGGCATCGGCCAATCACAGATGGACATTTATCACGCTGTTAGAAAACACGGAGTGAAAGGAGAAAACGGTGAGAAGAAGAAGAAGAAGAAGGAGGAGGAGAGCGAGGATGAAAGAGGAGGGAAGAAGGATGCAACACAAGTCAGAGTGACGACAAACAACCGCAGCGAGACGGAGACGAGCTGAAGACCCAAACGCTGCAGAAGGAAATAAAATGTACCAACAGAAACGGAGGCCAGAGGACCTACAAATGAGAGGAAGACAGAAAGAGATGCAGCAGAAGTACGAGCGTAGACATCTGCTAAAAGAAAGATTTGACAGAAGAAAAGATGGCGGAGAACGCTGCGAGACGAAGGCTACCAAAGAAAAGACGTCGAGCGACACGAAAGGAGCAGGAGTGTAGCTGAAAGTTCTGCAAAAGAAAAGAAAACTTAAATGGTTGAGTAGAAAGGGATAAAATAAAGATCCTACACATGGAAAAAGGAGCAACGGGAGCAGGTAGAAATGTAGAAAAAGACGAGAAAGAAAACTACCAGAGAAAAGCTGAGGAACAGTGGAGCAGAAAGAAAAGAGGACAAAGAGCTCATCTATAAGATGATGTAACGACGGGATCAGTCAGGGACGCCTGTAAGGGAACCACCAACCATTATGTTTATTGTGTATATTGAGCTTCCTCACCAGTAGAACCCCAGAACCACTGACTTTACAGGTGTAACAGAACCACTGACTGTATTTGGCGATACGGTCCCAACCACTGACTTCTATCGGACCAACATCACCATCAACTATTGACCTAATAAGACAGTAACATCCTTTTCCATCCTTCACGAGGCAACAGAACCAAAACCATTGACCTTGTTGGCTAACAGAACCTTTGACCACCACCGTTAACAGTCTTTGACAGCAGAGTTCTTTACCGTTGACTTTAAACTTGCAACAGAAGCTCTAAGACGTCACCAGACAATAGAAGTTCTGTCTACTGACTGTAAACACGCAGACTGGACATTTCATGGTGGAAGGAACCCGTTGACAGCCATTATTTTTGGAAGGTGATATCTGCTGACTCTAAACCACTCTTTACTAAATAGCACAATAACATGGTTTTCTGTTCTTTAACAGGCAGTAGAACCCAGAACCACTGACTGTAACGGCTAATAGAACCTTTAACCACCATCTTTAACTGTCTTTTGACAATGGAGTACTTTACCTTTGACTTCAAACTTCCAAAAGAACCTCTAACCACTAATATTGACGTTCTTGGACAAGAGAAGTTCTACCAGTGGACTGTGAACAGGCAGTGGAGCTTCTAACCTCTGAAAGAACCCATTGGTAACCATTGATTTTAGAAGTGGATGCTGACTACACCTACCGTCAACTGTCCTTTTATATCCTTTATTAGGCAGTAGAACCCAGAACCACTGACCTTGTTGGACCAACTCCGATGGTCACCAGTTCGTCCAGGTGACAGAATCCCTAGAATAGTTTGCTCCAGTCAAACGCCACCTGCAGCTGCTGTCAGGGTTCTGAAATGAGGAGTTGGTATTGATCGGTATCGACCCAGCGCGATGCCCAGAGTTTCCCCCTCCAACATGTTCTACCGTCTTTACAGGAACAATGACTTTAAAGTCAGCGTCTATGAGAAAATAGCACAAAATGGCCGCTGCAAAATGGCTGCAAATGGGAGCTAAAGCTGGCGAGCTAAGTGCCGGAGCGCCGCGCGGAAATCTCTTTGACTCAGCACAAGAGCAAATCGACTGCATCTGCGGAGCGGCACTCGGAGTGCTCGCGGGAAGGACGGCCGCAGAAACAAAAAAAGCCAGAACAGTGTGTTTCTAAATTCAGAACACAAAGAGCAATTCCTCCGTTTTCCTGTTTGTTTTATTCAAAGTGTCACTC